CGATAGAGGCGAGAGTGAGGATGCTGTAAGGATCGCGCAAGATAGCGAAGACTGTAGCAATCACGGCGATCCTGGAGAGACAGTAGACAGAAAGCCAGTGTCAGCGTACAAGCTAAGGGTAGGAGTTGAACGAAAAGCAGGTGAGGTGCAACCCAGTATGGTGCAAAGGATCAAGACGGCAAAGAGTAGAAGGAGAAGCAGAAGAGTATGCAGGGCAACCATAATCGAGCTTAGACAGGATGAGAGAGGAATGCAAATAGAAGAGCGTGCGCCTATCCGCTCCCCAAGAAGTATGGGACAAAACCTTAAATAGGTTAAGGGCCTTAGAGCATTCAACACAGAGGCAAGAGACATGGGGTGACCAAGACAAACGAGTGTCAAAGAATAACCCCAAAAGCTTCGTGGAATCTTTGTACTCAAGGGGATGACCATAAAGTGACAAAGAGGGACGAAGAACGACCCGCTTCCGAGTAAAAGTCATGGCACAAGTCTTAGTAGTAGAGAACTTGAAGCCATGATTGGTGGCCCAAGATGACATGGCATCAATCACAAGTTGAAGCCGCCATTGAAGGAGAGGCGAATCATCACCTCGACAGCAAAGAGTAAGATCATCAACATAAAGAGCGGAGAAGATGCCAGAAGGAAGGGAGGGAGGAAAGGAGACCATTGAGGGCAACCAGAAAAAGAGTAGTACTCAGAACACTACCTTGGGGGACACCTTCATACTGCCGAAAAGAGGCAGAGAGAGTGGCACCAAGCCTGACGCGAAAGGTACGACGAGAGAGAGAAGTATCAACCCCTTATAACTCAAATGGGGCTGATGACGACCACGAGGGGGTCGAGTGAACATGTCCATCTGGAGGACAGGATGGCCTTGGGCTTCAAGGATATGTTTAATATCCTCATGGCAGTCTTTTATGTCCCTAACACCAGTTGCAACATGGTGCGGGAGGAGAACAGTGCCAACACTAGCATTTAACTGAGCATTTTTGGAGACCCGAACAGGAGTCTACCCAACGCAGGACACTGCGGCTAAGCGGGTAGCTGCATCCCGAAGAGCAGCAGCGACGACACATGTATCGACATGGGTGGGGTTAAAAGTAACAGAGGCATTGACCGAATCAACAAGGTGTTCATGGAGGAAGAAATCATCAGGTGTAGAATCCAGATGGTGGAGAAAGCATTTAGCTCACAAAGCGGGACCAAACAAGGCATGGTACGTATTAGTTATTAGTATGGGCAGGGATCGTGCGAATGCGACTGTGGCGAGGACGGCACTGAGAACCCCCAGAGAGAAAGAGAGGGGTTAAAAGGCGCAGTAGTCACAATGAGAGACTGAGCCATGCCAGGGAACGAGGGGGTCACCACTGGTGGCTTGGGCTCGACCCAACCACAGAGAAGAGAGGAAAGCCGAGGGAAGTAGTCAGGAGGGTTAGAGGAGCAGCTAGGTCTGAACCCAATGTAGAGGGGGCTACAGAGCCTGGTCTTCCAACACAGTCTGACTCGAGAACCTAGTCGCCCACCCCACGAGCCTGAGAAGTCATAAGAGGAACAGTATTCAGCGACATGAAAATGAGAGGTAATACTTTCCTTCACGACTGTGCCCCCGTACCCTTCACAGAGCCACAATTAGAGGATAGGACACCTGACAAGAGACAGGTCTTGCCAGGAGCCCCCAGGGGTGCATCGTGAGTATACTCCCCACAATCGCCACCTTAAGAAACATCAGTCCATCAAGATCGGTTTCAGTGACGAAAAGAAGGATTGACAATAAAAGCGTCCCCTCGCTCGCGACGTTGGGTACCACAGTTCTACGAGTGAGAGTGTGCGCCTCCCCAAACACCCGGGCATCAAAACAGAAGATGTCCAAGAGAAGGACCAAGATGGACAAAAGGTCGGCGGGAAATGACTATTAGAAAGGAGAAGAGGGGGGGAGGGGGAATGAAACATAAGGGAAAGGAAAAAATTCCAGCATAATTAGTGAACACAGCAGCAGGTGCATAAAGCTTCAAAAGTACAGGACTGTCCCATGGAACATCACACTCCAGCAGCTGTCCACCAAACCCCCTCACAACAACAACATTCCGGGAAGGGAGGGGGTCTTTGAACAATAAAGCACACAGTTTTACTGTTACACTATATATTATCACTATATATATATATATATATATATATATATATACATTATATTTATAACCACATTTTATTTGCCATAATTAACCAATAAGCAGTTCTAGTTGCTGTGGTAATAAAATTCATGCACAGCATAGCGCCCCACACACACCTGACGGCTAAGTGGATAGCACTTGAGATTTGAAGTCCTAAGAATCCAGGTTCAATCCCAGCAGAGGCGGGAACAAATGGGCAGAGTTTCTTTCACCCTAATGCTCTGTTCACCTGGCAGTAAATAGGTACCTGGAAGTTAGACAGCTGGTACGGGCTGCTTCCTGGGGGGGGGGGGGGGGGGGAATCAGTTGATTGACAGTTGGGAGGCCTAGTTAAATAGTTGATACCTAGTTGATGGGGTTCTGGGAGTTCTTCTACTCCCCAAGCCCGGCCCGAGGCCAGGTTTGACTTAAGAGAGTTTGGTCCACCAGGCTGTTGCTTGGAGTGGTTCGCAGGACGACATACCCACCACAGCCCAGTTGGTTCGGTACTCCTTGGAGAAAACAGTCTAGTTTTCTTTTGAAAATGTCCACAGTTGTTCCGGCAATATTTCCGATAGTCGCTGGTAGGACTTTGAACAATCATGGCCCTCTGATGTTTGTACAGTGTTCCCTGAGTGTGCCTATGGCACCTCTGCTCTTCACTGGATCTATTCTGCATTTCCTTCCATATCGTTCACTCCAGTATGTTGTTATTTTACTGTATAGATTTGGGACCTGGCCCTCCAGTATTTTCCATATGTATATTATTTGAACTCTCTCGTCTCCTTTCTAGCGAGTACATTTCGAGAGCTTTGAGACGATCCCAATAATTTAGGTGCTTTATCTCGTCCATGCGTGCTGTATATGTTCTCTGTATTCCCTCAATTTCAGCAATCTCTCCTGCTCTGAAGGGGAAAGTGAGTACTAAGCAGTACTCAAGACGGGACAACACAACTGATTTGAAAAGTACAACCATTGTGATGGGATCTCTGGATTGGAAGGTTCTCGTAATCCATCCTATTTTTTTCTGGCTGACGCAATATTTGCTTGGTTATGCTCCCTAAACATTAGATCGTCGGACATTATTATTCCCAAATCCTCGACATGCTGCTTCCCTACTATGGGCAGATTCGATTGTGTTTTGTACCCTGTATTATGTTTCAAATCCTCATTTTTGCCGTACCTGATTACCTGAAATTTATCACTGTTAAACATCATATTTTCTGCTGCCCAATCGAAAACTTTGTTAATATCTGTTTGTAGTTTTTCAGTGTACTCAGCAGAGGTAATTTTCATGCTGATTTTTGTATCATCTGCAAAGGATGACACGAAGCTGTGACTTGTATTTTTGTCTATATCTGATATGAAAATAAGGAACAGTAGTGGTACAAGGACTGTACCTTGAGGTACAGAGCTTTTAACTGTGCTTGGACTATTTTATTTGATTGACTGTTACTCTTTGTGTTCTGTTTGACAGGAAATTGAGTATCCAGTGTCCTACTTTACCAGTTATACCCATTGACCTCATTTTGTGTGCTATCACTCCATGGTCACATTTGTCGAATGCCTTTGCAAAGTCTGTGCATACAACATCTGCATTCTGCTTTTCTTCTAATGCCTCAGTGATTTTGTCGTAATGGTGAAGTAGCTGTGAGAGAGAATCTTCCCGCTCGAAATCCATGTTGGCCTGGATTGTGGAGATCATTGGTTTCCATGAATCTAGTGACCTGACTCCTGATCACTCTCTCAAATACTTATTATGTGGAACGTTAATGCAACTGGTCTATAATTCTTTGCCAATGCTTTGCTCCCTCCCTTGTGTAGAGGGGCTATGTTTGCTGCTTTCAGTGCATCTGTTACCTTCCCCGTGTCCAAGCTCTTCCTCCACACTATACCGAGTGCCTGTGCTACTGGCACTTTGCATTTCTCTATGAATATTGAATTCCATGAGTCTGGACCCAGGTCCAAGTGCATGGGTATATTGTCAATTTCTCTTTCAAAATCTGTTACGCTCGTGCTGATATCAGTTAGAATTACAGGTGTTTGGATATCATGCATAAAGAAGTTGTCCAGATCTTTCACTTTCATGCTGTTTATCAGAGTGCTAAACATGTCCTCATATTGCTTTTTCAGGATTTCGCTAATTTCATTGTCATCCTCGGTGTATGAACCTTCACTAATACGAATAGGTCCAATACTGGCAGTGGTTTTTGCTTTTGATTTAGCATATGTGAAGAAATATTTTGGGTTTTTCTTCATTTCTTGAATTGCTTTCTGTTCCAGTTGCCTTTCTTCAGTCTGATATGAATGCTTCAGTCTCTGTTCGATTTCTTCAATCTCCCTGTTTAAATTATTCCTTCTTTGTATGGAAAGTCGTGTCTGCTTAAGTATTTCCATTAATTTCTTCCTTCTTTTGTAATGTCATCTGCGTTCTCTTTGTACATCGAACCTCATTCTGGCTTTCCTCAAAGGAACATGTTTCAGACTTCATATGCTTCAGAAGTCAGTTTTTCCATTCCTTAAGTAGGATTTTTATTTCTTTGAACATTTTTCCCATTGAATGATTGTAAATTTCCTGTTTATTTTCTCCCAGTCTATCCTTTTATTATTAAAATTGAATTTATTGAATAACCTTTCTCGCTTGCTGTTTCTCTGGGGTCTACTACCGTTATTAATGTTAGTTTGCACTTCAATGAGCTTGTGGTCCGAGTACGTAGTGTCTGAGACCGTAATGTCTCTGATTAGCTCACCATTGTTCGTGAATATCAAGTCCAGGGTGTTTTCGTTCCTAGTTGGTCCTGTAATCTGCTGAGCGAGAATTTGTCCCAATCTCAGTAGTTCACTGACCTGTGGTTGGTTATTTCCAGGTTGATTTCCTGCTATAATGTTATTGTTAACTATTCTCCATTGTAAACTGGGTAGATTGAAGTCTCCAAGGAAGATAATATCTGGTACTAGGTTTGCTAGGTTATCAAGGTAGAATAACCTTGATAACCTATTTTCTCTATTTTGTGGATCTGTTCAGTGAATTCCTCAACTGTTGCATCTGGCGGTTTGTATATTAAAATAAACAAATTTTGAGGCGGGCTCGAAGAGCCACAGCTCAACCCCCACAAACACAACTAGGCGAGTACACACCACCATTATCTCACCACAATGAATTAAAAACCATTATCTCACCACACTGAAGGACCACATCATAATACACTGCAATGAAAACATACTATATGCAGTACAACAAATGAGCATTTCCACAAAGTTTGCCTCAAGAAAGGTTAACTATGTGTCATAGCATTGTATAAAATCAACTAAACAACCCATCACACTAATGCAAGAAATGAAATAAACAACAACACCGCATGCATTAACCTTAAGCAAATTTTTATCTAGCAAACCATAAGTGAAAATAAAATGCAAGTTTTATCAGTAATACATAAATAAAAAAAATCACCTGCCTAATTACCATAGTAAAACCCTATCAATACAATTCTTAAAACCTTTGATGCCAACAAAATGAAGAAACAAATAAATTACCATTAAGTTTACATTTATATGTAAAGCTGCAAGCAGATAAAGTACCAACAATAAAATTTGATCTTTCCTTACTTGTCACAAGGCTAAAGACTCATATACTGTGATGTAAAAAGAATTGTCTCAGTATTAATCAAAAGCATAATTTATATTCCCCCAGTGTATGAATAAATTAACCGTCTTAATAGTGTAAACTGGTACAATATTTAGAAAAACCACGCACTGCAGTATCACATGCTTTAGTGTGATGGTACATCATACCTTACACTGGCACCAACATTATTGGTGCTGCTGTATAAGGTTTATCTATATTAATCTGGTAATATTTATTCTTGCCAATTTAAACATTGTGTAACAATGAAAACTTGTATAACCTGCTGCATATGTAATGCAATAGATTGAGTGAAGTATTTGTTATGGGATCACAAGGGAAGACAACACGCACACTACTACAAAACAAAGGCTCATTATGATACCACATGCTAATGCAAAATTAAGTACAGTATAGTTTAGTACTTTACCTTTATAAAATTCTCATAAAGAAAATCTAATTTATATGTAAGGATGTCCATGATAAAATAAGAAATATTAAAATAGAAGTGTCACCTTAAACACAACAATAGACTGAACATTTTCTTTACACTTGTGCATCTTTAAAACCATAAGCTCCACTTACCAAGTATTACTAATCATCTCTAACATTATTAGCTATGAATAGCTTCACTTCCCACAAACTGCAGTAACTTGCATAATAAATTAATTGATGAATAAATCACAACTTTAGTGGTTTTCTACATTAAAACAACACGTGAGCAAAGCAGCAGCCAGACCTATATGATACAACAATAACCTTATAAAATACAGTATGTACAATTGAGACTGCTTAGTTTGTACAATGAGAATTTTTTTATATTCATTACTCAAATCTCTTAAAAGACATTCATGACTTTCCTTAAAATATCATTCAAGCACCTTAAAGATACTGAACCTTTTCAAATATACAGTATTCCAATTTGTATGGGCCTAGCTAAACATTTAAGTCTGAAAGTGATGTCTCGTTCAAACTTGTAGGAAATCTCCCAGTTCATCTTGGAAGGTAATGAACAGGATGAAAATACATATCACAGAATCATCCAAATGATGTTGCCTCTTAGGTATGTCACACAGTTTTACAAAATATACAATCATTGACATGCTTGAAATATAAATGAACCTTACAGAAATATTACTTTGATGACAAGCCTACTTATAAAGTAGAAGTACAATTATAAAGTAAGGTTTACTGCAGCAAAAACAAACAGGGATGATGAATGGAAATTGGGTTAACAAAAATGTAAATGTGCTGATAGGGAATTGGTCTTAATGCTATGTATACAAATATTCCTTTCATTACATTCAATTTATCATCATACTAGACTTAAATTAGACATGAGGCTTCCTCATACCCACTTGCAAGATAGAATATTCTTGGTCCGCTGACATCGGAGGCACTAAGGAGTTTCAAGTAAAATTTGAAACTCCACCATAAAAATACAACAATGTCTATGGCTTGACTAGCAACAATATCTTGAAGCATCCACAAGTATAGTGTTAAACAACCTTAATTTTCTCACTTGAGCATTTCACTTGTGGACATTTTAGAGGGGGCGAACATTCGGTTTAATATTTTAAATGTTATATCAGTACATTATGTATATTTTCATTTGTAATAGTTTATAAAGTTTGTGGCAGTTCTTCATATTCCTGTTTTATCACAGAAGAAATCATTTCCCATTAAAATCATAAGAGGCACCAACAACAGCCCACAGGATACCACACAGCTATACACAAGACTTGCTTGGCTTCAACAATCATGGTTAACTTACATGAAGTGTCCCTCAATGTTCTTTCAATACCAGTTCTAAATTCAGCACCTATGACAGGTTGCCAATCAAAATATGTCGTCAAAATGTCAGATCGATTTTCATATTTATCAATAAAAAACACAAATAACAATTTAATATGACCCTATAAAGGTATGGGAGCAAACTGTTATAGCTTTTTTAATAATAAGTGAATGGAATGATGAGGATATGCAACAAGAGGATATGTAATAAGTGGGAATGTATGTAACAAAACTTCAAAATGTTTTATGATAAAAATACGGGATTCAAGACATAACACAAAAGTACACAAACACGGGTATCACTATCTTCTGGACATTAATTATACATTAATGACTTTCTGCAGTTTTCTATAAGGCTGTTTAAATATCACTGTTAGAAATCTTTCACAACATAGTGTTCATAAGTTTGGTAGTAATATCTGGAAAATATTATCAATACAACAGATGATTATGAGTATTTAAAAGTAACTAGATTTCTATACAGTACACAATTTATAGTAGAAAAGTATTCTTCTAATAGATAAATAGATTTATGCTTTTCCTGATAGACTTACAATATCTTTACATACTGCCTTACTTATTTTTCTATGTAACTATTTATCTATGAAGCTCAAGTAAATGGATTGAAGGTGATGGACTAGGCATCCAGATCATTTAGACAGTTGGAGCTCTGCCAGCAGCCACTTGTACACAGCAACATCCACACCCTCTCCACACATTAACTCCCCTGTAGTTACCAGTTTCACATCTTGTGATCACACTCGGACAAGTTACCTCATGCCTACACATCCAGTTCATTCTGGAAGGTAGCTACATTAAAAAATAAATAATTAAAGTCCATCAGTTTGCATTGTTAAGGGGCCTAGATAAATGATTATCTAAGAGTCTAAAAATATGTCTAGTTACTGTCAGAAGAATTTACAAACACAGTAAATATTATATTCTTTTCAAAGCAGCCAGTGGACTTGCTACATGAAATAGCCTTATTATTATGAATTTTGAAAATTAAAAAAATTGCTATCTTAACTGAGGTCAGAGCATGCCAGGATAATAAAATGTCTGGATGACTTGGCACAAGATGGGAACCAGGAGAAGTGTTGGAAAAGCGTACAGGTGACAACCTCGACACACCAGTTGATCTCTATAATATTCAGCAGAGATTGGTGGCTCTGTTCCCCTCTTGCATACCATATTTTCTTCCTGAATACAAGTAAAATAATTAAAGTTGTTAATTTTGATAAACTCATTCTGCTTCATTTTATTAAGAATAAAACAAGATGATAAGCAACATCATCCTACGTGAAGTTCAAAATAGAAAGCTAAACAATAAGCTTGAGTTTCAATTGCTATCTCTTGGAGAAGCGACATACAACACCTAAAAAATCAGTGTTGGATGTAATGAAACGCCATTTCCTGGGTGAGACCCGGAGGCTCCCCGGAGTTTACCAGGCTGATGTGCTAATGTCAGACTTTGGCATCAGTCATGTGTAAAAGTTCTGTGGGCCTACTGGGGACCACGAGCCAGCACCTGACCCTCTCAGAGAGGCATGGGTAGCAATCACCTATAGAACCCCTGTGTGGTTGGAAGTATTCTGCCTGCCATCGACCGGGTCAGGCACCCTGAAAGGTAAGCGTCCCAAAACAAACTCCTATCCTGGTGAAAAATTTGCTACCAAAAGCCGAACAAGTGGATAAAACTCCCCCTAAATGAAACGAGCAAACGAGCATGATGTCACACGTCGCCGCGCTGCCTGCTATCTGCGTAGATTCTCCCTCCCTGCGAGGGGGAAAGAGGGAACCCCAGACCCCGCACCAGCTATCCACCCTTCAGTTTTGAGGCTGGATGTCAAACGCGAAAAACCGCCGACCGGGAGGGAGGGAGAGAGGGAGGGAGGGATGCCGGGGAGGCTCCGGGTCTCACCCAGAAAATAGCATTTCATTACATTCAACACTGGTTTTCTGGGGGAGCCCCTTCGGCTCCCCAGAGCTAACTACTCACAGAGAAAAAGTATAGGGACTTACCTGGGAGGTGGTTGTCGCTCACTCAACTCGAATCGAGACAACTGGCTGCAACCGCCGACCCAAAGCGACACAAGCCTGACTAGGCCCAGGAAAGTTCATGAGGTAACGAGCAGCCAGGACCCTGTTCGACCGTCAAAATCCCCGCACCTGAATGTCAGCTCAGGACATGTTGCCAAAGACGGCAGCAAGAGCAGTGAACTTACGAACGTCATGGGCACTGGGATAGACTGCAGGCTGGCTAGCCTTAACCCTTAAACTGCGCAACACTTCATATGACGTGTTGAGTATCTTGCTATAAATTGCGCATCACGTCATATGACGTGTTGGAGTACTATGCAAGATTTAAACGGCCCGCGGATACACGGGGTTCACCACACCTTCATCAGGGTTCTTGTAAATAGACACCATTTTAAAAAAAAATCGTGGGCCAAACTCCCGGGTGTTAGGGGCCTCAGTATTGAGTGAGCTACCAAGCCTGACGCACGCAGCATGAGCTCACAGCACTGCTGTTCAGCTTGTGACCACAGCATCGCCTAAAAATGCCATAATATACTTGTTCATGCTATTATGTAGCGATGATATTATTACAGAAGACCCCTGACTGTGAAAAAACTGACCAGAGTTCTGATAATAGCAGGATTGTGGTGATATTTAGTGCTGTGCGCCATGGAGGGAGGAGTAATGCTGTGGGAGGGAGGGTGGTGGTGATGTCTTCTGACTCTGTGTGGCCACCTTTTATTGACTGCACTCACCATACCAGCTTAGTGGTTTGCTATAGCGAATACAAATGTAGATACTTATATATATAACGTGTAAATAGAGGGTATAAACAGCAAGAGTAGGAGGTTGGGAGCCGCCATTTTGGTGAGGGTGGTGGCGTCGTCTGCACGACGCCACCGTGCAGACGACAGTGTTGTTTACTGGTTACCACGATGGTCTTTGGACACCATACCAGTTTACTTGTACAAGTATGGTAAATAAAACAGGTAGATATTTATATATAATGTGTGTATATAGCGTAATAGCACCACAAACAGTATTGTTGGAGGAGAAATATTAGTGCGTCTGGCCTTGAGGGCGGCAGCCATCAGCTGACTGTACGAGGTCCTAGGTCTTTGTGCCTTTACTCGCCATACAAGCTTAGATGTACAGTTATGGTGAACAAAACATGTAAATACTTATATATAATGTCTGTATATAAAAGCAAAAATAGTATGGTGGGTGGAGAATGGTGGCAAGTCAGGTGAGGTGAGGGAGGGAGTGCCAGCCAGTAATTACCCAGGTGTAATTACCTAAGTGTAGTTACAGGATGAGAGCTACGCTCGTGGTGTCCCGTCTTCCCAGCACTCTGTCATATAACGCTTTGAAACTACTGACGGTCTTGGCCTCCACCACCTTCTCACCTAACTTGTTCCAACTGTCTACCACTCTGTTTGCGAAAGTGAATTTTCTTATATTTCTTCAGTGGTTTGTCTTCAGCTTCAGAGACCCGGAGGCAGGCAGTGGCAGGCTGCCACTGCCTGCCACTGCCACTCAGCATACGAACTTAATAGTTCGTTATGGTGAACACGAATGTAGACACTTATTTATAGAGTCTGTATATAGTGAATAAAAACAAAAACAGTATTGTGGGAGGAGAATGTGGGTGAGTCAGGTGACTTGAGGGAGGGCGTGAGTGGCTGGCTGGTACACGGCGGTCACTCCTCGTTACTTTTTGACTCATAATAGCAACTTAGTGGTTCGTTATGGTGAACAAAACATGCAGATACTTATATATAACCTGTGTATATAGTGTAATAACCAACAAAGCATTTGTTCACTGATTGATGAACATTATTGAATCAACAATATGCGCACCATATTTTTGAGTACAGCGATGATTCACTCATTTTATTATATAAATATATCAAACTACACACTATTGAATAATATTACAGCAAAAAAACTATGAAAAATCAGAGACATTGAAATAATTAGGTAATTATCTCTTTGTGGCAACTCCAGCCTGACAGCTGACGATCAACAGACCGCCTGGGACGCACGCTGAGTCAGCGCCTGTTTTTTGCAAGACTTCTCTGCCCTATAGCGGGCAATATATGTTACTTATGATTTTTTTATTATTTTTCCCATGATCAGTGAACACAAATTAACAGGTTAGGAAGAAATTTTTTTTTTTTTTTTTTTTTTTGTATGCGCCTGTGGGTGTCAAATGGTATGGCCATATATTAAATGGCCATGCGCCATTTAAGGGTTAATAACCCTGCAGACGACCTGAGAGACCCACACCAGCAAACGGGGAAGAAGGGAAACTGGATCAACCCAAAGTGCGTCCTTGGATATAGAAGCTGTGGCACGCAAATAACAGCAAAGGGCCACAACCGGACGCAAAACATGAAGCACCCCCGGCCTAACCAACCAAGCATCAACAACCCAAGGGCCCCTCCAGAAAGCAGCTGTCTCATTCTTTGTCAGAAAAGAAGGAGACGGTTGCAGACGAACAAAACCATCGCCACAACCGAAAGAGCAGAAACCCCTGCGCCCGAGAAGAGTATGAAGCTCCCCAACCCAACCTCCAGAGGCCAATGCCAACAGAAAAAGAGCCTTCGAGAAACAATCCTGAACCGAAGGGCTACAACAAACTGAGGAGAAGAAAGAAAAGAGAGCACTCTGAGCAATGACCAGGATGGCTCAAGCAGCGCATGAGCATGCCAGAGGTGAAACAAAGCACGAGATGGCTTGCGAAATGGCGCAGAAGTAACATCAATACCGAAAGCAAGCTGAAGTGGCTCCACCACTGCCGCACGATACGTGGCAACAGTACAGTGGCACCTCGACTTACGATTGCCCCTACTTACGATAATTTCGAGTTACGATGTAAATTTCATAGAAAAATGCAACTCGACATCCGATGGTGTCGTCGACTTCAGATATTTGTTGGTACACGTTCGGGTCGACCGAGCGCGTGGTTCCCGGTCACGCAGTCCGACCTGCCTCCATTTACTACAACTGCACGCTTAGTGACAATCGTGCCTATAAGAAATTCCGTGTTTGTGGTGATTTTTTGCATTTTGAACATTACAGTAATTATTATATATCACACCATGAGTCCCAGGAAAGTCAGTGGTAAGGCTCAACATATGAGATCCCATGTAAGAATGACCATAGAGCAGAAACAAGAGATCATTCGTAAATATGAAGATGGTGTGTGAATTGTTGAACTGGCTAGGCAGGACAACAAATCTCAGTCAACGATATCCACCATACTGGCTAAGAAAAAGGACATTATGGGTGCTAAAGTGGCAAAAAGCATTGCCTTAACCTATTCAATGACACTGTGATGAATCATTACAGACAAATGTTAAAACGAAGGAAAAACAAATTTCTCTTGACAAATTTGTAGTGAGACAAACAAGCACTGAACCACAACCAGGTTGTAGTGGTATTCAGGCAAAACGTAGGACAAAAAATTCCCCAGAGAAAACATCACTGCCTGATGTGATAATGGAAGGGAACTCCCCTTCCAAACAGTAACAACTCTCCTCCTCCCCCCTCATCACCATCTTCTATATGCCATTAATCCTTAAAGTGCGCATCACGTCATATGACGTGTTGGACGTTGTTCCAGTCAACTGCGCATCACGTCATATGATGTGTTGGAGTACTACGCAAGATTTAAACAGCTCGCGGATACACGGGGTTCACCACACCTTCATCAGGGCTCTTGTAAACAGACGCCATTTAAAAAAAAAATCGTGGGCCAAACTCCCGGGTGTTATTGGCCTCAGTATTGAGTGAGCAACCAAGCCTGATGCACGCAGCATGAGCTAACAGCACTGCTGTTCAGCTCGTGACTACAGCATTGCCTAAAAATGCCAAAATATACTTGTTCATGCTATTATGTAGTGATGATATTATTACAGAAGACCCCTGACTGTGATAAAACTGACCAGGGTTCTGGTAATAGCAGGATTGTGGTGATATTTAGCGCTGTGCGCCATGGAAGGAGGAGTAATGCTGTGGGAGGGAGGGTGGTGGCGATGTCTTCTGACTGTGTGGCCACCTTTTATTGACTGCACTCAGCATACCAGCTTAGTGGTTCACTATGGTGAACACACATGTAGATACTTATATATAACGTGTGTTTACTGGTTACCACGATGGTCTTTGGGCACCATACCAGTTTATTTGTACAAGTATGGTGAATAAAGCAGGTAGATATTTATATATAATGTGTGTATATAGTGTAATAACACCACACAGTATTGTTGGAGGAGAAATATTAGTGCGTCTGGCCTTGAGGGTGGGAGCCATCAGCTGACTATGAGAGGTCCTACGTCTTTGTGCCTTTACTCACCATACAAGCTTAGATGTACAGTTATGGTGAACAAAACATGTAAATACTTATATATAACGTCTGTATATAAGATATATAGCGTAATAACACCACACAGTATTGTTGGAGGAGAAATATTAGTGCGTCTGGCCTGGAGGGCGGCAGCCATCAGCTGACTGTGTGAGGTCCTACGTCTTTGTGCATTTGCTCACCATACAAGCTTAGATGTACAGTTATGGTGAACAAAACATGTAGATACTTATATATAACGTCTGTATATAGTGAATTATAGCAAAAACAGTATTGTGGGAGGAGAATGTGGGTGAGTCAGATGACTGGAGGGAGGGCAGGAGTGGCTGGCTGGTACACCGCGGTCACTCCTCGTTACTTTTTGACTCATAATAGCTACTTAGTGGTTCGTTATAGTGAACAAAACATGCAGATACTTATATATAACCTGTGCTTATAGTGTAATAACCGAGAAAGTATTTGTTCACTGATTGATGAACATAATTGAATCAACAATATGCACACCATATTTTTGAGTACAGCAATGATTCACTCATTTTATTATATAAATATATCAAACTGCACACTATTGAATAATATTACAGCAAAAAACTATGAAAAATCAATCAGAGACATTGAAATAATTAGGTAATTATCTCTTTGTGGCAACTCCGGCCTGACAGCTGGCGAGCAACAGACCGCCTGGGACGCATGCTGAGTCAGCGCCTATAATTTGCCAGACTTCCCCGCCCTATAGCGGGCAATATATGCCACTTACGATTTTTTTATTATTTTTCCCGTGATTAGTGAACACAAATTAACAGGTTAGGAAGAAAAAATAATTTATTTTTTTTTCAAAATGACATGCGCCTGTGGGGATGACAGGATATTAACCCTCAAACCGCTAGGGGCCCAAATGGAATTCACACCCACAGGCGCAACAAAAAAAAAAAATCCAAAAAATTCTTTCGTCTTATAGAAGTGTTCATTTTTGTTCCCTGATCACGGAAAATATAACAAAAAAATCGTAGGTGGCATATTTTAGCCGCAATAGGGTAGGGAAGTGTGGCAAAAAAGGGGCGTTGGCAGAGCCTTCGCCAGACGAGGTCTACTCCGCCCGAGCTGTCAGACGGCAGTTGCCACAAATATATTATTACCTAATTATTTCAATGTCTCTGATTTTTTCTTTGTTTTTTTTGCAGTAATATTATTCCATACAGTGAATTGTGGTATATTTATATTATAAAATGTGTGAACCATCGCTGTACTCAAAATTATGGTGTGCATATTAGTGATTCAATTATTATGTTCATAAAACAATAAACAAATAGTTTTGCTGTTGTTACACTATATACACAGGTTATATATAAGTATTTGCATGTTTTGTACACCATAACGAACTACTAAGTTGGTCTTGTGAGTCAAAAAGCAACGAGGAGTGATCGCCAAACACCAGCGAGCCACTCACTGCCACTCCCTCCCTCAACACCACCTCACTCACCCTCATTCACCTCCCACAATACTATTTCTGTATTTATTCACTATACACAGACGTTATATATATATGTATATACATGTTTTGTTCACCATAACTGTACATCTAAGCTTGTATGGTGAGTAAAGGCAGAAAGACGTAGCTACTCACACAGTCAGCTGATCGGCGGCCGCCCTCAAGGCCAGACGCACTAATATTTTTCCTCCAACAATATTGTTTGTCGTGTTATTACGCTATATACACACATTATATATAAGTATCTACCTGTTTTATTCACCATACCTGAACAAATAAGCTGGTATGGTGCCCAAAGATCATAGTGGCCATCAGTAAACAACATTCCAAGTCGTGCAGACGACGCTCCTTCCTCACCAAAATGGCGGCTCCCAACCTGGGTGCCTAACCCCAGTAGATGGCTGATAAAGAAAAACCCCAACCACAGGGAGGTTTTCTAGGGCCATTGCTTCCTGTGCTTCTCTGAGGAGGCCAGGTTCTGGCTTGTGATCCCTGGTAGGCTGAACTCCATAGACTAATGCACCGGTCTAATGATTCACATATTAGCCCGACAGCTCCAGGGAGCCAAAGGGGCTCTCCACTGAAAATACTATATAATAAACTTCTGGGACAGCCTAAATTTAAATCCATTACTGCTCATAAATTAATTAAATCATCAGCACACAATATGCAATGTAATAATGAACAGCCTAGCTCCTCTTACCTTACAAATCTCCTCACATGGTGGACACACAATAGCACCTTCATGCAGCCATCCATTTTGGAAGATGGAAATATTTATTACCTGCAAAATTAAGACAAGTTATCAGAAATGTATTACTGTTACTGTGAAAACTAATCTAAAACCTTTATAAATGCTGACTATTTCTAGGTTGGCTCTCTCAGCAGCTTCCCTGAGCTTAAGCATGAGTACTACAGAGGCTACCAAATAGTACCAGACCCTAGAGAATTGTACAAGTTTGTTAAGAGTCAGGACCAAACACCTCGCCTTCTAACAGAGGTATGGGCATCAAAGATTGACAAAATAAAAAGGAAACCTGCCCAAATAGTTTTAACCAAGATAAAACAAACCACTGTTCTTAAATAAAATAAAGAAACAAGGTAAATGATGGTTGGCAATAGGAGAACAAACCTAGTCACAACTCGCCCAAATGTCATTAGATGGTAATACGGGTCAGCCTGCGTTAGTATGCTTGTTATCATCCAACATGCCTCTTCCCTGTCAGGTGTATTATGCCAGCATTGCTTCTACACCTGAAACTGTTGCCAAATGTTTATGGCCTGGGCAGCTAGTGTCCATGCATCTGGGAAGTTTGTTTACTTCATTCCTCTATTGGTTGTGTTGTGATGTTACCCCCTGCCAATTTTTTACTATTGCTCTTAACTTTCCAGGATGCTATTTGGTATGTCTGGGGGTGCCGTTTAGTGGTTCCCTGTAGCTATCTCACTGAGATAGCTACATATTACAAAGTCACATCACTCATGGGAGTTCTGTTTGGCCTACTGGAGAAAACAGCCAGAACCTGGTCTGCTCACAGAAGTGCACAGAGCAAATGACATGCTGCAATTTAACCGAGAAATTATCCAGAAAATCAGTGAAGTTGTACAGATAAGTGCTAGGTTTACAAGACTCGAAACCTTGAACCTGCTAAACAACTCCCCAAATACTTTTAATGAAAAAAATCACTACTGAATGTAATGAATTGCTTTTTTCTGGGTGAGCTTTGGTGGCTCCCTGAAGTTATCTCGCTGAGATGTCTCCAAACTACTAGGTCACATCTGTCATTGAGTTCTGGTATGATTACCGGGAACCAGAGCCAGAACTTGGTCCCCTCTCCTCAGAGGTGCAGAGAGCAGGTGACACTCCACCAGCTCACCAGAAAAGCATCCAGAAAGTCAGTGAGCCAATACAGACAACTGCTGGGTTCAAAGAGACTGAAGCCAAATTCAAAAGTCCAAAACTGCCAAACGAATTCCCCCAACAAAGAAAAGAAACAATCTAATCTCTTGAAACAAGCACCCCTCCCACTAGTTTGTGGAGGGGATTGGGGCTGGGGTTCTCACTGTCAACTGGCAGAGCCATCAGTCCACCAAACCAATTCTGTTGCTGATACAGACATTTAGTTGTCCTCTACAGGGTACATGGATCGTCCACAAACTGTGCAAGCCCTGCTGTGTCTAAGCTAAATGGTGGCCATTCTTGGACTCTTTCCACATTTTTAGTTAGCTTCATGAGGGTGTTTGTCAGTTTTTGTTGTGAGGAACTAGCTCATAGGGCACTTGAAGCTGACCTGTGCTCAGGGCTACTTTCCCCGAGGGCTCCCGAGGGCTTCCCCTGCACTGACAATTCTCTTCTCTGGTGTGTTCGGGAGTTCACTTTTTTGAGACCAGACCACTGGGAGCGAGGAGCCTTTCCTTGGGTGAATCAGGAAGTTTTTTGCCCATCTCTGTAATTACCCAAGTGTAGCTACATGATGAAAGCTACACTTGTGGTGTCCCATCTTCCCAGCACACAGTCATATAATACTTTCAAACTACTGACAGTTTTGGCCTCCACCACCATCTCACTTGTTCCAACCGGCTAGTTGCAAAAGTGAATTTTCAAATATTTTTTTGGGCAGCTTTGTTTTGTTACCTTAAATCTATGACATCTTGTTCTTGAAGTTCCAGATCTTAAGAATTCTATCGATTTTGCCAATTCCCATTACTATTTTGTATATAGTGATCATATCTCCCTTTTTCTTCTACCTTCTAGTTTTGTCATATTTAATACCTCTAACCTCTCCTCGTAGCTCTTGTCTTTCAGTTCTAGAAGCCACTTAGTTGCATGTCTTTGTACCTTTTCCAGTTTGTTGATGTGCTTCTGAAGATATGGGCACTATACAACTGCTGCATATTTCAGCTTTGGTCTCACAAAGGTCATGAACAATTTCTTTAGTATTTTGCCATCCATGCATTTAAAAGCAATTCTGAGATTGGAAAGTATAGCATAGGCTCCTCACACAATGTTCTTTATGTGCTCCTCGGGTAACAATTTTCTATCTAGATTCATTCCTAAATCTCATTCTTTATCAGATTTTTTGTTTGCTTTTTCACATAATTTGTAGGTTGTTTGTGACCTATTTTCTATTTCACACTCCCTAACATGGCATTTATTCACATTAAATTTCACTTCCCAAGTGGTGCTCCATATACTTGTTTTGTCCAGGTCTTCTTGAAGAGCATGACAATCATCTAAGTTTCTTAAGTTTCTTGTCTTCTCTAGTATCTTAGCATCATCAACAAATGCGTTCATGTAATTCTGTATTCCTTCTGGTAGATCGTTCGTGTTGACAATGAACATTACTGGTGCAATAATTGAATCTTGTGGTACTCCACTAGTGACATTTCTCCAAACTGATACATTACCTCTACTTACTGCCCTCCTTTTTTTTTTTCAAAATCGTTCATCATTGTTAGAAGCCTCCCTGTCACTCCTTCAGTATGTTCCACTTTCCAGAACACCCTCTTATGTGGGACTATCAAAAGCCTTCCTTCATTTTTTTTTTCAACCAAATAAATGCAGTCAACCCAGACATCTCTCACCTGTAAAATCTCTGTACTCTTTCATAGAAACAAAGTAGATTTGTTATACAGGCTCTTCCCGATTGAAAACCGTACAGTTATTATATTATTTCTCTCCAGGTGTTCTACCTATCTGGTTTTAATTATTTTTCCAATACTGTACAGGGTATTTTAACTACTACACTTGACAATAATACAGGTCTATAATTAAGAAGGTTGCCACTTTTTTTGCGATGGTGCTTGGATGGTGTCCAGGGACACCATCCAAGCACCCGGTGCCAACAGGAGCCGAACCTGGGACAGCGTAGTCATCCGAAAGGAGGGGCAATAAACCCAGGAGTTCAGATGGGACAAGTCCAAAATGAACTGCAGGTTCGCGCAGTCCCATTTCGGGACTGGAAACAGATGGGAAACCCATCTGAGGGATGACGTCGTTTCAACCACGCCCAAGCGAACCCACTTCAAGATGACCTGACAGAGCGCAGGGGAAGAAGCCTGCCCTGCCAGCCCCGAACCTCCCGCAGGGGGAGGAGCCACCCAACGCCACCGGAGGCTGTGCGAAACCCGAAATGCCCACAAATCGTGGGACCAGGCATGAGCGAACAGCGCAAGCCTTCACCCCATTGCCCCATCAATGGGGTGAACCGCGAAAGGGCTGGCGCCCCTTACGAGACCCAGAACCTCTCACAGAGCGAACACCGCGCCGACCAGATGAAGGCGGGTCCGAAGGAGGAGCCGAACTCGAACCTGACACCAGTGGCCTACCACGGCGAGAACCCCTCCCCGAGCCTTGGCACGACTCTTCCAGGAAGGCCCACCATGGGACCCCCAGAGAACCAAGAAGTCCGACATAGGACGGCAAGAAGCCGAAGCAGCCTGAATATACTGCGCACCGGCTGAAGCCTCAAACAAGAGGGCAAAAAGGGGAAGACATCCTAAGAGCCAAGGCCCAAGCAGATTCCATGGAGGAGGCAAGCACCGTCTGCTGTCACGCGAGCCAGGAGGCATAAAACAGAGCCACTGCATCCCGCAAGATTGGCGCGAAAAGCTTCAGCAAGGCAGCCGACGAGTGAGCTGCCGAGGCCAAGACGCCAGACCCAGCAACAGCCCCAAGCGCCCCAACATTCTCCGTGAGCCATTCAGAAGACAGCGGCAGGAGGGAAAAGAAGCACAAGGCCACAACCAAAAGGCCCCGAGCGTGCAAGTCCTCCACCACCTGCGCCGCCGAAAGGAAGGGAACCTGCCCATGGAGCTGAATGACACCAACATCCCGGGAAAGGGCAGGAGCAAACAAGCACTCATTGAGGTGCTCAAGGTCACCCCTCAGGAAAACTTGAAGCACCGTCGAAGCCTCCCACCACTCAAGCGTGCGGGAACGACAGAAGGAGTGCCAAGTCTCCAAGGCAAAGACAGGACAGTCCGCCAGCCAGGACGACTCCAGAACCTCATAACAGAGCCAGAAAGGGAACGAAGTCCCAAACTTGAAAGCCGAGGGATCCATTGCCGAGGCATAATTTTGGTCACGCAGGAGGTTTGCCGCAAGAGCTGCCTGCACCGCAGCAGGTTGGATGCCATAAGCCGAAAACCTCCGAAAAGACGGAACCGAAGCGCCCGGGGGAACACGGAATCGAAGCAGGGGAGAGGCAGACACCAAATCCATCTCATATGCAGAGGGGGGGGGGGGGGGGGAAGAAAACCCCAGTCAGCCCCTCCCCAGCCCCAAGGTCCTTTTCCGCAGGACCCGAGGCCGAGTCCTCCCCCCAAGCACCAACCCCCACTAGACAAGGCCGGCGCCGTAGAAGCCAGATAGAATGAAGCCCACTGGTCAGACCCAGAGGCTTCAGCTGTGGGAAGAGACTCTAATGCCTCCGTCGCCACACCGGAAGCGGCATCCCTCGAGGCTGCCCGAGTCTCAAGACCAACTAACCCCTGCCCCGACTCTGAAACCCTCAGACGTTTCGGGGCTGGAAGCAGGGGAGAGGGACCAGAATGAACAACAGAAGGGGAAGGACTAGGTGTGGACTGAACCAGGGTCGAAGCGATCCCCACCCCCAAGTCCGGGTCCCTATAAGCAAAACGGGGCAGCCGCAGGGCATCTGGGTGAGCAACCAACCAAGCGCATTGCAACAACCGAAAACTAGAATGCAACGCCTGTGCAGCCTGTACCCGAAGATGATCATCCATATATTGGGTAAATTGAGTCACCAGCAAGCAACAATACTCACAGGACTCAGGGTCGAAAGTGTCACCGACCCAACAGGCTGTGTGACGGAGGCAAAAACAGTGAGGGTCGCCCTAAGACAAGGGGACCAAACAACCCTCAAACTCATACGAAGCGAGGGGGGGACCCAGGGGTCACCTCCATCGGACCCACGCATCCCCTAGGGGATTCCCAGGTCCTGAGAGTTTACTTGAAGAGGACTCGTGCTCAGGTAAACCCAGGTAGGGTACTGCTAACCGGCACCCAAAACTACCAAACAGTTTAAAGCTGAACCCCAGGAACGTGTACACTCACAGGGACCAAGAAGGGGGCACCACCAAGTATCAGGGTGAGGCCAAACACCAGTGGCAAATAGGGCAGAACCTGCCACCAATGTAAAAAGAAAAACAAAAACAAAACCCCGCAAGAGGACAACATACCCCAAGTAACAGAGCCGGCCGCTGTGATAGGTGACAACTAGCACCTTACCCCTTGACAACTAGACAACCCCTTACCAGTGTGAAAACTGCCTCTTACCCTAAGGCAAACTAGGGAGACAAAACCCCCAAGTACCCAAAGGGCGGCTGAGAAACCGAGCAGTAAAACGGACACACAGGGGCAGACCCCGAGGAACTTGTGGAAGGTAACCCCAAGCTCCTAGGGCAGTACTTACAGGGCACCTAGGGAAAGGAACCCTAGGCGCATGCAGCCCGAGTACTGTACTGAGGAATAACTCCTGGTTCTCGCACCCCTGGAGTACAGCAGCCACACACAAGGCACAGCGCCACAAAAATACTGGAGCCAGAGCACACAACCGAGCCAATAGCATCAGCCTAGCTGATGCTATTGGCTAACATTAGCATATCAGCCTAGTAATCTCCGGGGAACAGTAGGGGCTCCTCCCCAGGAAAGTGATAAAAGGACCGCCAGGAGACTTCATACTGCCGGCGAGACGAAACATGCAGGTGTGCACCAGCAATGAAGCCACCTGATCACCATACAAGTGGTGATAATCCTGGGTCAGAAGACCAGATGCGAAGATTGGAGGGGATCGAATCAGCCACGTATCAGACTGGACCGATCTGCTGAAAGAGGCGGAGCTGCAGAAAGTCCTCGGATTCGGACACTGAGCAAGCAGCGCCTAAAATCATGGCTGGGCTGGTCTCCAAGAGGCCAACAGGACAACTCTCCCGGGTAAGTCTCCACTCATGCCAGGACATGAAGCAACAGCTGAACCTGCAGGAAGAGGTACAGGGAACTTCAACTCAACCAGTCCTGCCGAACAGCATCGACCCTGACGGCCTCGCAGTCGGAAAAGGGTGCCACAGATACCAGGAAATGCCACGACCACTCCGGCTTGAAGAGGTCCACCTCCGGGTGCCTGTACATCCGGCAGAGCTAACCAAACGAGTTAGCGTTGACCGACCATTCCGTGGAAAGGGAAATGAAGCAGGACAGGCTATCCACTAGGACGTTGGACATCCCTTGGATGTGAACCGCCAGAAGAGTCAAATCCTGAAAACTCAGCAGATGAGTCATCTGAAGCGAACAAGGACTTCATCAAACACCCCCTCGTTTCAGGCAATGAATCACTGGGGCGCAGTCCGAATGGAGCCGGATCATCGATCCGCGAGCAACATGAACCCTCTGAAGTGACAGCCACACTGCCGCGAAATCCAGCACCGTCCTGTGAGCCTGACGAAAGGATGGACCCCATCGACCCTTGCTTGCCTGGTGAGCACTGGTCACAAAACCCCAGCCAAGAGACAATGCATCAGTGTACACATCGAGCAAGGGCTCGGCTAGGCGCCATGACACTGAATCCCCCAAAAAACAAAAAGAAAGCCTGCGACGCAGCAGCCAACACAAGGGGCCCCCCAAGAGGCCAAACTCAACGATTGCGAGAGCAGCAGAAGGGACATACCCGAAGGAACCAGAACAGCCGCCGAAGCCAGAACCAACCTGGCGGGTAAACCAGCATGGTGAAGGGCAGACTCCCACACAGCTGCTTGAGCAACCAACGAGTGTCCAGGAACCCCCAAGAAATAGCCGAAAGCAGGACTGCAACTGCAGCAACGACGCCAAAGGGAGAGATAAGGAAACAGTCCGAGAGTACAAGACAAGAGTAGAACACAAGACCCAGCCAAGTCCAAACCCGAGAGAGAACCAGATGGGACTTCCTCCAGTTCACCAGGAACCCGAACCTGGTGAGCTGGGAAAGAACCAAACTCCTGGCGAGCAGACACGCAGACTGGCTGGGAGCCCACACCAACCAGTCATCGAGGTAAGCCAGTACCCGAACCCCTTGCAGATGCAAGCGGGTCAACACAACCTGGTTGACCCTCATATCCACCCACCTAACTGCACCCTGCCCCTCATCCCTCATCTTCACCCACCTGACTGCACCCTGCTCCTCATCCCTCATCTTCACCCACCTGACTGCACCCCGCCCCTCATCCCTCATCTTCACCCACCTGACTACACCCCGCCCCTCATCCCTCATCTTCACCCACCTGACTGCACCCCGCCCCTCACCCCTCATCTTCACCCACCTGACTGCATCCCGCCCCTCATCCCTCATCTTCACCCACCTGACTGCACCCCGCCCCTCATGCCTCATCTTCACCCAACTGACTACACCCTGCCCCTCATCTTCACCCACCTGCCTACACAATGCCTATCTCATTACATGTATTACTTCTATGTAATTGTTTATCTGATAAAACTCTCAAAGGCAAAGCCCAGGCTCATTTTGGTGCTTCCGTTCATCCTTGTCAGCACTGTCCTTTGCTGAAAGAACTATTATATTGAATACTGTATTTCTACTCTTATCATAGTTACCTCTAGAGATACACAATCTAAATTAAAGTAGTGTCTTTCATCAGTATCACTTTACAAAACTAATTTGCTACATTGTCTTTAATCACTCATATATATTAGCTTACTTCTCATTCAGTATTTAGCATTACCTTAAAAATACTAATTGAACTCAATTCAATTATTTTATGAATTATCCCTGAAACACTGCATATAATTATTGATGTTATAAAATACATGTAAACAAGATAAGCACACAACACACTTGAAGAAAATTCATTCTTACCTGATTAGCATGATAGCAGGTATATGTATGATTTGCAACAATAATGTGCAGTCTGCCATCAACACACATATAATGGTAACAGCCTGAACCCCAGTGCTGCCACTGCCGAAGATGGTAACATGTGCGTTCGGTCCATTCTCGCTGCTGATTAAAGCATTTGCTTTCTTCTGTGTATGATTCAAGTGCAAAGTTCTTTTCTAGATCTGTTTGACAAAAATTAAAGATTAAAAATTATAAAAATACAATATAACAAACCAAACTGTTTAGACTGAATTCTGTCTTTAGACCCCTTGCACTGATATTACATGCCCACTTGTTATTTTCTGTAGGGGCCAAACAATGGCCCCCCTGTAGCATCCCATGTTTTTATATCTCCACACGCGCACACACACACCAACCCTAGAGGCCCAAAATAACTTACAGGAGACTAGAACCAGAACCTGGTCCCCTCACACAGGCTCAGGGAGCAAGGAACTGATATGGTTACCCTGCTCTCCATATATCCAAGGAAATATCCAGAAACAAAGCAAAGAAAAACAGACAACTGTAAAGTTCAGAGAACAGAAACAGAGGCAAATGACTCCACAAGTGATTCACCTGCTTGCTTGATACCTGCTTTCTTGATGGGGTTCTGGGAGTTCTTCTACTCCCCAAGCCCGGCCCGAGGCCAGGCTTGACTTGCGAGAGTTTGGTCCACCAGGCTGTTGCTTGGAGCAGCCCGCAGGCCCACATACCCACCACAGCCCAGTTGGTCTGGCACTCCTTGGAGGAATAAATCTAGTTTCCTCTTGAAGATGTCCACGGTTGTTCCGGCAATATTTCTTATGCTCGCTGGGAGGGCGAAAACCAAAAGCGCCCACTAACCGCGGGACCATGCAAGAGTCATCAGAGCAAGCTGCTCCCCCAGCGCCCCGTCAACAGAGAAGGGAACACAGCCCCTTCCAAAAGAAAAAGTATACATACACATATACATACAGGTATATATATATACATATAAATATTATGTATATACACATACATAGACACATACACACAAGGTATGTTACACATACCTCGGGGCCTCGTAGCCTGGTGGATAGCGAGCAGGACTCGTAATTCTGTGGCGCGGGTTCGATTCCCGCACGAGGCAGAAACAAATGGGCAAAAAGTTTCTTTCACCCTACGTGCCCCTGTTACCTAGCAGTAAATAGGTACCTGGGAGTTAGTCAGCTGTCACGGGCTGCTTCCTGGGGTGTGTGTGGTGTGGGAAAAAAAAAAAAAAAAAAAAAAAAAAAAAAAAAAAAAAAGTAGTTAGTAAACAGTTGATTGACAGTTGAGAGGCGGGCCGAAAGAGCAAAGCTCAACCCCCGCAAAAACACAACTAGTAAACACAACTAGTAAACACATACGTGCGTATGTACATACACATGTGCACACACACAGTGTACACATGTACATGCACATGTGTACACACACACATATGTGAAAAGAAAATTACAAGCCGCCGACCAGTGGGCAGAGAGCACCACGCCGGCCAGGCGAAGAAGGCACAAAACTGCATCAAAAGGCCCACCTCGACAACAAAACCCCAAAGTCCCAGCATGACCACCTACCTTGAGGCTACCTTGAGGTGCTTCCGGGGCTTAGTGTCCCCGCGGCACGGTCGTCGACCAGGCCTCCTGGTTGCTGGACTGATCAACCAGGCTGTTAGACGCGGCTGCTCGCAGCCTGACGTATGAGTCACAGCCTGGTTGATCAGGTATCCTTTGGAGGTGCTTATCCAGTTCTCTCTTGAACACTGTGAGGGGTTTGCCAGTTATGCCCCTTATGTGTAGTGGAAGCGTGTTGAACAGTCTCGGGCCTCTGATGTTGATAGAGTTCTCTCTCAGAGTACCTGTTGCACCTCTGCTTTTCAACGGGGGTATTCTGCACATCCTGCCATGTCTTCTGGTCTCATGTGGTGTTATTTCTGTGTGCAGGTTTGGGACCAGCCCCTCAATTATTTTCCACGTGTAAATTATTATGTATCTCTCCCGCCTGCGCTCATGGGAGTACAGATTTAGGCTCTTTAGTCGGTCCCAGTAATTTAGATGTTTTACTGAGTGGATTCTAGCAGTAAAGGATCTCTGCACGCTCTCTAGGTCAGCAATTTCTCCAGCTTTGAAAGGGGCTGTCATTGTGCAGCAGTACTCCACTCTAGATAGCACAAGCGTTTTGAAAAGTATCATCATCGGTACAGCATCTCTAGTGTGAAAAGTTCTTGTTATCCAACCTGTCATTTTTCTTGCAGTTGTGACGGCTACTTTATTGTGTTCTTTAAAGGTAAGGTCTTCCGACATGAGTACACCCAGGTCCTTTACATTGCCTTTTCGTTCTATGTTATGATTTGCCTGCGTTTTGTACGTGGTTTCTGTTTTTATATTTTCAATTTTTCCGTAGCGCATGAGCTGAAACTTATCCTCGTTGAATACCATATTATTTTCTGTAGCCCATAGAAAGACCTGATCTACATCTGATTGGAGGTTTGCCGTGTCCTCTATGTTGCCAACTCTCATGAAAATCCTAGTGTCATCTGCAAAGGATGATACAGTGCTATAGGTTGTGTTCTGGTCTATGTCCGATATGAGGATGAGAAAAAGTACTGGAGCAAGCACAGTACCCTGGGGGACTGAGCTCTTCACGGTTGATGGGCTGGATTTTATTTTGTTGACTATTACACATTGGGTTCTGTCAGTCAGGAAATTGTAGATCCATCTGCCTATTTTCCCGGTAATTCCTTTTGAACGCATTTTATGTGCAATAACACCATGGTCACATTTATCAAAAGCTTTTGCGAAATCTGTGTAAATTACATCAGCGTTTTGTTTGTCTTCCATAGCATCTAATGCCATATCATAGTGGTCCAGCAACTGCGACAGGCAAGAGCGCCCTGTTCTGAAACCATGTTGTCCGGGGTTATGGAGATGCTGTGATTCCATGTATTTTGTGATCTTACTTCTTAGCACTCTCTCAAAAATTTTTATGATGTGCGATGTTAGTGCTATCGGTCTGTAATTTTTTGCCTCTGCCTTATTTCCTCCTTTATGGAGTGGTGCTATCTCTGCTGTTTTTAGTATGTCAGGGATAACGCCAGTATCTAGGCTTTGTCTCCACAGAATGTGAAGGGCCTGCGATAGTGGTTTTTTACAGTTCTTGATGAATATGGAGTTCCAAGAATCCGGGCCTGGTGCAGAGTGCATAGGCATACTGTTTATGGCTTCTTCAAAATCTAGTGGGGATAGGGCGACGTCTGATATGTGATTTGATGTTGGTATCATATCCATGAAAAATTCATTTGGGTTATCAATCTTTAGTGCATTTAATGGCTCACTGAAAACAGAGTTGTACTGCTTCCTCAGTAACTCGCTCATTTCTTTGTTGTCATCTGTAAAAGTTCCATCTCCCTTTCGCAGGGGAGAACACGTGACCACAACACGTGACAAGACCCAAAAAGATCAGTTTGTAAGCCAGGAAGACTCCAGAACCCCAGAAGGCAGAACCGGGTCACACATGAGGAAACAAAGCCCCCTGAACCCACAAAGGGGGCCCAAGAGGAAGAAACCTCCAGAACGAAACTAAAGAACCCAAAGGAACCCAGAATCGAACCAGGGGGAGCCCAAATCACCACATTTGCCGGCGGAGAAACACCACAGAAAGGCAAAGCACAGCCCCAGACAGAACCTCCTGGGAAACGGTCAAAACAGACCGAAAAACCGAGGGACAAGGTGTGGGAGCAAGCATAACAGACAGGCACACTGAGCCCAAACCCGAGAACCCAGACCCAAAACAGACAAAACGAAAAACCCGGTGTAAAATCATCACTCAATCGTTCCTAAAGGAACAGGAAGCGGGCAGAAAACACCAGAAAAGCAAAGAAACGACAACAGGAGAATAAAACCCCTGAAAGGAGGTGAAAAACTCACCCAAGACGCTCGCTCACACACCCAGGCCCATGTAAACAAACCGCAACGCCGCCCTGGTGGCCATGCCGGGAAACCGTCAGAAGAAAATGGCCACCAGAACAGAGGGCTGTGACGGACGCAAAAGATACGAAAACACGCCAGCAAAAGTGGGAAGCAAGCAGACTGGATGGGCGAAAAATTCAGCCCAGAAGCAGAAAACCCAGAAAGGGGCAAACTGCCCCAAAACTGCTAGCAGGCATCCCCCACAGCCCCGGGAACCAGCAACAGAGGCCCCGGGGCAGAGGCGTCCTCCAAGCCCTCCGCCCTTAAAGAAAAGTTAGAGTCCATGGGAAAGGCAGCAAAAAAAGGGCCGCTGGTAAGCCCCAGAAGCCTTGGCAGGAGGAACAGGCTAGAAAACCTCCATCCCCAACCCGAACGGGGCAGCCCCCAAAAACCGCTCGAGTCTCGGCCCCAACTAAACCACATCCCGACCCCGAAACCCGCAGACGGTCGAGCCGGGAACAGGGAGGGAAAGAGGCAAACAGCACCTAACCAAAAAGGGGCGGTCTCGGGGCATCCGAGTGGGAAACCAACCTAGCGTGTTGCAGCAACCTTACCTAGCTTGCAACACTGAAGCTGCCTGTACTCTGAACAGTAACAACATCAGGAGAGTACTGGAGAACAAGCAGAGAATCTCTCTCTCGCAAGACTCTGGGTCAAGGTGTCAGTGACCCAACAGGCAACATGACAGAGGTAAAAAGTGGCGACTGTCACGCGGAGGCAAGGGCACAGCAACTAACGATCCCGTACAAGACGGGTTGGGACCCGGAAGACACATTCAATTGCCCACCGAGCCCCGACAGGGGTTTCCAGGGTCCATAGGGGTAACAACTACGGGAAGCCCGGGCAAGGTGTTGCTAACTAGTTAAACACCCAAAAATAACAAGGGGTAGAGGACAACACTGAAAACCCCTGCGACGTGTACAATCACGGGGCCTAGCAGAGGGCCACCAAACACTACCAGTGGAACTATAGCCAGACTAGGCAGACCCCCACGAGGCAAATGAAAATAAAAACAAAAGAAAACCCCGCAAAAGTACACCGTCTCTAAAGGCAACAGGAACCGGTCGCCGCTTAGGTGGCAGGTCGTGCAACACCTTGACGCCCTAACCAGCACAATCCCAGTCCCTTTCCAGGGCCAAACAAGGGCCCCAAGTCCCAGCTGGCCCCAAGAGTGAGGCAATGCCGAACACAAAGAACCTCTACGGGAAAGGTTCCCGAACGCCCCAGGGAAGAAAACCCTGTCACGCAGGGGCAGTACTCACAGGGCGCTGTGGGAAGGAAGCCCCTAAGCGCATGCAGCCCCGGCACTGATGAGGTACTCGTGGCCACCGCACAACACAACACACGGCAGTGAACGCCACACAAGGCAAACACCGCCTAGGAAACTGAGGCCAGAGAAGCGTCTATCCCAGTTGACATTAGCTTACGAACTGATGCTATGCAACCGGCACGGTAGGTCCGGGGCTTCCCCCTCCACCTCTCAGGGCGGGGAGGGCTGCGCGGACAATCGGCACGGCAGTAAAGTGTGATGTTTGCTTGTTTCCTTGGGATTGTAGGGAGTTTCTACCTCTCTGTTCGGTTTTTTGTTTTAGTTTTTTTACCATGTGGGGTTTGTTTTGTTATGCCTACCTTTCTGGGTGCAAACCCAGGTCGATGGCAGATAAGGAAAACCCCAACCACAAGGGGGTTTTCCCAGGCCGTTGCTCCCTGAAACCTCTCTGAAGGGGCCAGGTTCTGGCGCTGGTCGGTCTGAACTCCTTAGCTAATGTCCCAGTCTAATATAACATACATTAGCCCAATAAGCTCCAGGGAGCAGTAGGGGCTCCCCCACAGAAAAAGTGTCTTTAGACAGATTTTGAGTAAAAGCAAGCAAGCTGTGAGCCACAACCAGGTCCTAATGGAATGCCTGCAGAACATAAAGAGAGTACCCCAGAAAAGTCATCACTGCCTGATGTTATAATGGAAGGGGACTTCCCTTCCAAACAGTAACATCTCTTTCTCCCCCCCTCCTTACCATCTTCCATACGCCAACAAGAGTCCTCAATAAAAGTAAGATATACATACTATATTGTAGATAGTATAAAAATAGTAGTATTCAGTATGAAATGTATTTTTAAATTAATATTTTTGGGGGTGTGGAATGGATTAATTCAATTTATATTATTTATTATGGGAATTTTTTTTCGAGTTGCGTATTTTTGAGTTACGACCCATCTCTGGGAATGGATTAAATTCGTAAGTGGAAGTACCACTGTATAACAAAGTGAAAAATGGATGGCCTTTTTCAGGTGATTATAGGTGTTGTGATTTTTCTCCCTTGCATTCAGAATAAATAAGAATTGGACAGACCCCCACGACAAAATATGTGAATGCACATGGGATCTATATCACTTGTTTTCAAAAGCTTCAAATATTATCAAGATATTTTATTATAGTTTTAAGAAGACAATATTCAGAATATAAATTGTTACTTAGAAATAATGCAATTGTAATATTCCAACTAGAAGAGCAAAGAAATTGATATTATTTAAATCTTGGTGATGTCACACCATACAAGAACAGAACCCTCTTTAAATTCTGTAAATACCCTTCAGGCATTTAAAACCAGCTAGCCAAAGTATAAATACACTGGCTAATCAAAGAAACTCAAAACTTTCTACATACCTGGATTATTTTCCTCGTATTGGCAGTGTGAACCACGAATAATGATATCCTGACTTTTCCAAGTAAATTCCTGAATGTAAGGGCAGTAATCAGCCAGTGCTACCGAGCCTCCATAGTGGCCAACCCTGTGTGCTGATACATGGGGAATAACCCCAAAGTTCTGTGGAAAACAGAACCATCCAATTATCACTAAAAAATTAAATGTGACTAATCAATAATTTTTAAAGGTAATATTATTGAACAAGTTTAAAAACTTTGTAAGAAAAACAGCAATATATATTTCAAGCATTTATTTTATATTGTATTCTTAATATTATAAAGGAAAACATAAAACTCTAATATTATATAGTGTTGAAGGTCCTTCCCCTCTTCCCTTAAAGTCTGTCTTCTGATGCTCCACAAGATGAAAAGTTCTCGGAATAATCCCACAAAGTACAATATTTGTCTTCCCACATCATATAAAAAATTTAATTTTGTAAATGTTAACCCAAGGCTGCTCTTGTGATTATAGCCTGCAAAACACCCAGGTGCAAGGAAAAAAAATCATCCTATAAAAGTGTTCATTTGTGTTCCCTAATCACAGGGGAAAAACCCAGCATTGAATGTAACGAAACACCATTTTCTGGGTGAGACCCGGAGGCTCCCTGGAGCTATCCAGGCTGATAGATATATATTAACTTTATGGCATCAGTCAATGTGCATGGAGTTCTTGCCTACCGGGGACCACGAGCCAGAACCTGGCCCCACCTCAGAGAGGCAAGAGGAGAAATGGCCTATAAAACCCCCATGTGTTTGGGAGCATTCTGTCTGCCATTGACCGGGTCTGGCACCCAGAAAAGTAGGCACCCCAAAACAACCAGCGTTGAATGTAATGAAACGACATTTTCTGGGCGAGTCTCGGAGGCTCCCCGGAGCTTTCCCAGGCTGATATGCTAATGTCAGACTTTGGCATCAGTCATGTGTACGGAGTTCTTAGGCCTACCAGGGACCACAGCCAGAACCACGCCCCCTCAGAGAGGCAAGGGGAGCAATGGCCTATAGAAACCCCTGTGTGGTTGGAAGCATTCATGTCTGCCATCGACCGGAACAGGCACCCAGAAAGGTAAGCACCTCAAAACAAACCCCTATTCTGGTTAAAATTGCTACCAAAAGCCGAACTAGTGGATAGAACTCCCCAACAGAAAAACAAGCAAACTAGTGTGACGTCACACGTCGCCGCGCCACTGTCTGCGCGGCTCCCCCTCCCCAGGAGGGGGGAAGGGGGAGCCCCAGACCCTCCACGCCGGCTACCCACACCTCAGTTCTTGAGGCTGGATGTCAAAATCGCAAAAAAAAAAAAAAAAAAAAAAAAAAACGCCGACCGGAGGGAGGGAGGGATGCCGGGGAGCCTCCGAAACTCACCCAGAAAATAGCGTTTCGTTACATTCAACGCTGATTTTTTGGGGGGAGCCCCGTCGGCTCCCCGGAGCTAAATACCCACAGACGGAAAAAGAGGGACTTACCCGGGAGGCGGTCGTCGCTCACTCCTCAACTCGAAGCCAAGACAACTGGCTGCAACTGCCGACCCAAAGCAACACAGGCCCGACGGGGCCCAGGGACATTCACAAGGTAATGAGCAGCCAGGACCCTGTTCGACCGCCAAAATCCCCGCTCCCGAATATCAGACCAAGACATATTCCCAAAGACAGCGAACTTACGAACGTCATGGGCACGGGGATAGACCGCAGGCTGGCTGGACTTAACAACCCTGCGGACGACCTGGAAGACCCGAACCCGCGAACAGGGAAGGGAAACCGGATCAACCCAAAGCGCGTCCCCGGACACAGAAGCCTGGTGCGCAAATAACGGCGAAGCGCCACAACCAGACACAAAACATGATGCACCTCCGGCCTGACCAACCAAGCATCAACCACCCATGGACCCCTCCGAAACGCAGCAGTCTCATTCTTCGCTAGAAAAGAAGGAGACGGCTGCAAGCGAACAAAATAATCACCACGACCAAAAGAGCAGAAACCCCTGTGCCGGAGGAGAGCATGAAGCTCCCCTACCCTACCCCCAGAGGCCAATGCCAACAAGAAAAAGAGCCTTGGAAAAACAATCCTGGACCGAAGGGGCCACAACGAAACGAGGAGATGAAAGGAAAGCGAGCACTCGGTCCAAAGACCAGGACGGCTCAGGCGGCGCATGAGCAGGCCGGAGGTGAAACAATGCACGAGACAGCTTGCGAAACGGCGCAGACGTAACATCGATAATGAAGGCAAGCTAAAGCGGCTCCACCAGCGCAGCACGATACGAGGCGACAGTGTTAGGCATAAGATGGCGGTCCTGAAACAACCAAGAGAGGAAGGACAAGACCACCCGAACAGACAAGGAACTAACACGAAGAAAATGCAAGAAGAAACAGAAGGACTGCCAGGAAACTTCATACTGCCGCCGAGAAGAAGCCCTCAGGTGGGACACCAACAAGGAGGCCACCTGATCACCATAGAGATGATGATAAAGTCGAGTCAAAAAACCCATACGCGAAGACTCGAGGAGAAGATCGAACCAGTCACGTGACTTACCGGCCCAATCTGCTGAAAGAAGCAGAGCCGCGGGAAAACCCTCGGGTTCGGGCACCGAGCAAGCAGCGCCTGAAACCAAGGCTGGGCCGGCCACCAAGGGGCCAGAAGGACAACTCTTCCCTGGTAAGTCTTTAAGCGAGTCAGGACCTGGAGCAACAGCCGAACTGGGGGAAAGAGGTACAGGAACCCCCACCTCGACCAGTCTAGCCGAAAGGCATCGACCTCGACAGCCTCGCGATCGGGGAAGGGCGCCGCATACACGGGAAGACTCCACGACCACGCCGACGCGAAAAGGTCCACCTCGGGGCGCCCGAACGTGTGTGGCAAAGCCAATGGAAGGACTCGTCGTCAACTGTCCACTCCATGGAGAGGGGAACGAAGCGAGACAGGGCGTCAGCCAAGACGTTGGACACTCCCTGTACGTGAACCGCCAGGAGAGCTAAACCCCGAGAACTCAGCAGACGAGTCATCCAAAGCGACCAACCCCAAAGAGACAAGGACCGCATCGAACCCCCGCGGTTCAGGCAATGAACCACCGGAGAGCAGTCCGAATGGAGCCGAATCGTCGATCCGTGGGCTACCCGAAGCCTCCCAAGAGCAAACCACACTCCGCGAACTCCCGCACCGTGCTGTGAGCTCGACAGAAGGACGGATCCCAACACCCCTGGCTGGCCTGGTGAGCACTGGTCACAAAGCCCCAGCCGAGAGATGACGCATCCGTGTACACATCGAGCGAGGGCTCGGGTAGGCGCCAAGGCACTGAACCCCGAAAAACCTGAAGAGGAAGCCGGTGACGCAGCAACCGACGCAAGGCCCCCGGGGGTCGAACCCTGCGATCGCGAGAGAGGTGGAAGGGGTGACCCCGAAGGAACCAGAACAGCCGACAAAGCCAAACCTGACCCGGCGGGTAGACCACCATCACGAAGTTCAGGCTCCTGCACAGCCGCTCGAGCAACTGCCGGGTGACCCGAGGGCCCACCAGAAACAGACGAAGGCGGGACCGCAGCCACAGGAGAGACTCCGGAGGGAGAGACAAGGAGACGGTCCGAGAGTCCCAAACAAGACCCAGCCAAGTCCGAACCTGAGAGGGGACCAGATGGGACTTCCTCCAGTTCACCAAGGACCCGAACCCGGCGAGCTGGGAAAGAACCAAATCCCTGGCTAGCAAGCAAGCTGAACCAGCCAGTCGTCGAGGTAGGCCAACACCCGAACACCTAGGAAACGCAAACGAGCCACCACAACCCGTGTAAGGTACGCGAGGTGCCAGGTTCAACCCGAATGGGAGACAACGAAAGCGGTAACCTTGACGCCCCACAACAAAACCGAGCCAGTCCCTGAACTCCGGATGAACCGGGACGTGCCAATACGCGTCCTTGAGATCCAGGGACACCATCCAAGCGCCCCTCTCCAAGAGAAGACGGACCTGGGACAGCGTTGTCATCCGAAAGGAGGGGCATAACACCCACGGGTTCAGACGGGACAAGTCCAGAATGAACCGGAGGTCCGCGCAGTCCCATTTCAGAACCGGAAACAGGCGGGAAACCCACCTGAGGGACGACGTCGTTTCAACCACACCCAAGTGAACCCACTCCGAGATGACCCGATAGAGCACAGGAGAAGAGGCCTGCCCCGCAAGCCCCGAACCCCCCGAGGGAGGAAGAGCCACCCAACGCCACCACAGGCCGCGCGAAACTACCCGAAAAGCCCATGAATCGTGGGACCAGGCGTGGGCAAACCGGGCGAGCCCCCCCCCCCCCCATCGCCTCGTCAATGGGGCGAACCGCTTAAGGGCCGACGCGCCTTGCAAGAACCAAGGGCGGCGAACAGGACGGAGCCCACTCCGTCCAGCAACAGCCAGAACCGAAGACGCCGCCAGCCCAGAATCTGGTACCAAAGGCCTACCCTGACGAAAAGACCCCCGAGCCCTGGCACGACCCTTCCGGGAAGGCCCCCCACAAGCCTCCCGGAGCAACAACGACTCCGACATAGGCCGACAACTGACCGAGGCCGCCTGCAGATACTGCCCCACAGCAGACTCTGCAAACAGCAACGGACAAAAGGGCAAACAAACGAAGAGCCAGGGCCCAGGCGGACTCCAAGGAGGAAGCCAGCACCGCCTGATGACACGTGAGGCGAGAAGCATAGTACCGCGAAACCGCATCACGCGGGACGGGCGCGAAGAGCTTTAACAAAGCAAACGATGCTCGCACAGCCGAGGGCAGCACACCAGACCCAGCAGCGGCCCCAAGCTCTCCCACATCCAACTCGAGCCAATCCGAGGATAGCTCAAGGAGGGAAAGAAACGCAGAGCTGAAGCAAGTAGGCCACGAGTCCGCAAATCCTCCGCAATCAAGGCAGCCGAGAGGGAAGGAACCTGCACTTGAAGCTGCATGACACCAACATCCCGCGGAAGGGCAGGGGCAAACAAACAAGCATTCAGATGCTCGAAAGCGCCCCCCAGGAAAACCTGCAACGCCAAGGAAACCTCTCGCCATTCAAGCGCGCAGGACCGACAGAATGTGTGCCAAGCCTCCAACGAAAAGAGGACAGTCTGCTAACCAGGACGACTCCGGAACCTCATAACGAAACCAGCACG